AGATACTGCATCTTCAATACCCAAAGAAAGCAGAGAAAGAGCTGGAAATGAGGTGAGGCTATAGGCACTTCAAGCCTGCTGCCCCTAGTGATGTCCTTACCAACAAAGCTCTGCCTCCTAAGAGTCCCATAGCCTCCTCCTCCAGCAGCAGCAGCACCTGGGGACCAAGTGTTCAAATACCTGAGCCTATGGGGGACATTTGGTTCAAACCATCACAGGTATCATTCCTAATCCAATTATTTAGAATGTAAGATTTGAACACATGAATTGAGAAGCGGAGAAACTATAAACGTTCAGACTGTAGTACATACACCTAGCAATACCCTGATTGACTTGTTGGCTAGGAAGCAAGCCTCTCACAGAAAAAGAGGGTAGTGATCAGAGAATTCCAGAAGAATCAGGTAGTGCTAAGGTCTGTGCTTCTTGCCAGTCCCCTCAATTGCAAAAGAAAGTGCAGCGAGATGGGTAAAACACATAGACAAATGTAATTCTTACCAGATTTGCTCTAACTGGATAGCATGTTGTGTGAGGACAAAGTGTTTTTGAGTAAATGGAAAAGCTTGGACCATGATGTAAAAGTGGGAAAATCAAAAAATGAATGGTTAGGTTCCTGTGGGATACAAGGTAATTCTATATCAGTTATTATAACCTTTGAATAAATGTAATTTCATAAATTTCTTTTCCTTTACTGAGAATTTTATACCTGGACATATATCCATGTAAATCATACACATATAGGTATAAATTCAGTATTTTAAAATATAGTCTCTCAACAATTTTCAGGTATATGTCATAAATTCATATGATAAACAATGGAGCTCTTGAACTTGTTCCTTCAAAGTAAAATTTTATGACTTTGACAAGGAACTCCCAAAGGGCCAACCAACCCCAGCCTCTGGGATAATTTTACTCTCTATCCTGTAAGTTTGACATTGTTATACTTTCTAAGTAAACCAGGAGGCATTTGTGCTGTTACTAATTTATTTAGTTACTATAATACCCAAGTTCTTCTGCATTGTCACAAATGACAGGATTCATTATTTTTTCTTTTTATTCATTCTGTGTGTCTTTTACATCATGTGTCTTGATCCCATTCATTTCCCCACCCCTTTGCACCCACCCTCTACCCCAAGAGGAAAAAAATTAAAAATCTCATCATGGAGGCTTCAGTGTGACCCAGTGAATCATACAGTAGACCCCTTCATTCATATATCTTTACTTGCAAGTGTTCATTGCAGAGTCATTGGTCTGGTTCCAGGCCTGTGGTTTCTACTACACTATCTATGCTGGACGCTCACTAGGACTCTTCCTTTTTCATGATTATTATTTTTTGCAGATGTTTTTTATTTGAATTAGAAACAAGATTGTTTTACATGTCAATCCCAGTTCCCTCTTCCTCCCCTCCTCACCTACGCCCCCCCCACTATCACATAACCTTTCTGCTCCCCAGGGAGGGTGAGGCCTTCCATAGGGGGTCATCAGAGTCTATCGTATTCTTTGGGATAGGGCCTAGGTCCACCCCTTCGTGTCTTGGCTCATGGAGTATCCCTCTATGTGAAATGGGCTCCCAAAGTCCACACCTGTGCTAGGGATAAGTACTGATCTACTACAGGAGGTCCCGTAGATTTCCAAGTTCTCCTCACTGAAACCCACGTTCCTGGGGTCTGGATCAGTCCCATGCTGGTTTCCTAGCTATCAGTCTGGGGACCAAGAGCTCCCCGTTGTTCAGGTCAGCTGTTTCTGTGGGTTTCACCAGCCTGGTCTGGAGCTCTTTGCTCATCACTCGTCCTTCTCTGCAATTGGATTCCAGTTCAGTTCAGTGCTTAGTTGTGGGTGTCTGCTTCTACTTCTACCAGCTGCTGGATGAAGGCTATAGGACTCTTCTTGAATATCGTGTTTTTGCCCTGTGTTGTGGAAATCCTGCAGCTGTGGGTCTGTGGGTCTTTTCAATAATAACTATCCTAATAGATGTGAACTGGTAAGTCATGGGATTTTATTCTGCATTTTTTAAAATGATCTGTTATGTTGAGCATTTTGATAAATACTTTCTGGATATCAGTGCTTTCTCTGGAGAAGTGTCTAGTCTTTTGTCCATTTTAACTATGGTGGTTTTACCTTTGAGCCCTTAATCTACACTGAGTTGATTTTTGCAAAGTGAGTGGTCAGTGTTCTTAGTACATTTTTTTCTTTATTTTTTTTATTTGAATTAGAAACAAGATTCTTTTACATGTCAATCCCAGTTCCCACTCCCTCTCCTCCTCCCCTACCACTCCCCCAACTAATAACCCACCTATCACACATCCTTTCTGCTCCCCAGGGAGGGTGAGGCCTTCCATAGGGGGTCATCAGAGTCTATCGTATCCTTTGGGATAGGGCCTAGGCCCACCCCTGTGTGTCTTGGCTCAGGGAGTATTCCTCTATGTGGATTGGGCTCCCAAATTCCACACCTATGCTAGTGTTGGCACTATACTGGTTTGTTTACTAAAATGTTAATGGCATATTTAAAAATCACTGAAAACTCTAAAATATTGGTAAGAATTTGAGGATGACAGAGATAAATGGAATGACAGCAAGTATTTCTGGACAGAAAAATACTATCCATACAACACAAAGCAGTATTTATCAAAACTCCAAAGATATTTTCTCAGAGAAAGAAAAAGCAAGGCTAAAATTTTTATGAAACTATAAATACCATGGGTTATATCCCATAATGAAGACTTCTGCAAAATAACACTAAATTGTCATAATAAACTGTGAGTTTTAATTTCTATGTTTCATAAATCTGAATAACATTATTGATTTGCCTTAGAATAGTGATTTCTTAAACTTTTCCCAAAAGTAAGTTTTAAATCACTTACAGTAGAATCTGATTTTTAAGCTCTTAGAACATCGACTGTTTTGAGCAAATGATTAATAAATATAAGTGGATGTTTCCATGAATTTATAACAGTAATCGTAAAACCATCTATCACTTTTAAAAGCCGATTTGGACCAGATGTTTGTTTGTTCCTTGGCACAGCCGTGCCTGGATCTGAATTCATTTTATGATTCACAGAATCCCTAGGGGCCCATGGTGATAGGATTGAAACCAGGCCAATTGATGTTTTAATCCTTTCTGTCCTTCAGGAAGAAATGGAATTAAAAACTAAGTTTCTGTTGTTCGGAATTTGTTGCACTGAGCTAAGATTATAGATAGGATGTAGCATTAGATTCTTGCTAAATGGATTTATAATCTAAATTAGATATACAGGATAGTGACCTTGGTGAATAAAGGGTAGAAGTGACAACTTGCTGAAAAGTCAGCAGAAACTGAAGAAGTTCAGAGACTAACTTGTGAGTGGCATTTGTTGACCTTCGTGATGCTGCAGACCGCAAGGTCCCAGTGCTGGATCTGACTTAGTCTCCCTGTATAGCTTCACACATGGCACCTTGCTTTACTCTGCATCTCTTCAAGACGGTTCATACTTCCCAGAGAAGATGGAGAGGTATATGAAAGAAAAAAAATAAAGGTCTTCACACTGATAGATAAAAAGATTGCATGGCACTATAAAATAGCCTGGGCATACTGTATAAATTATGTCTAATCAGTATCTTATAAAGCAGGTAATGAGAAAATTAAGCCGTCACACCTCACAGGGTGTATTTCAAAGAAATAACAACTAGTACATTTAAAATAAGTCACATCTTATTGCTACCTGTCATAGTAGGCAAATCTTCAAGTACTGTAATAGGTCTGTATGGTTTTGACCAGTTGATAATAAATTATTAAATAATAATTTCATACATGTTAACTAACGTGAGCCAGTAGCTGTTAGGTGCTTCTACTCATTTTGTATAATATCAAATATGCTTCATATTATAGAAAACAGAACTTCCTACACCTGGCAACCTGTCCATGACCTCAAGCACAATAAATCAGAGACAAATGGCACTAATCCCTGTTCTTTGTTGTGTGCTAACCTCAGCTGGTCCTATACCAGTGTGGGTGTGTCCTAAAGTAAACATAATTTAGTTATGAAAGAAGAAATACTTTTTAAAATTAAGACCAAGAGGTGCATTTCTTACCACACTCAGATTATTGGATACAGTTGGATATCCTTCTCTCTAATAGTCACTTCCTTGAATAGGATCTCTCTTCTGTTGCATTTCCTAGGACATAGAGGGCACCTAGGAAATATCTAATGAAAGCTGAATAAATTAAATTCTATCACAAGCATATATAGGGTATAAGTATGATCACACTAATTTTTGGGAATATGCCTGAAAATATAGCATATGACAAATCCATAATTCGTGTACTTATTTCAAAAGCAAAGTGCACAAAGTATGCCAGCACATTTATCTGCCATCACTTCTGGAACATCAGTGGTTTAAACAGCTTTGAAAATAGTTACTTGAAAAAGATGTGGCCTGATTTCTGCTGTGAAAGCAATAAAATATTCTATTTTAAATTTTCCTGTGTGTTTGTGTGTGCTATAACACATGTATTCAGGTACCCACAGAGGCCAGAAGAAGGTGTCAGAGCCCCTGGAGCTGGAGTTACAGGAAGTCACGGGCAGTCTGGTGTGGGTGCTTGCATTTGAACTCCAGTCTTCCAGAAGAGCAACAAGTGCTCTTAACCACTGAGCTATCTCTTTAGCCCGACAGTAGAATATTCTAAATTCAGTGGTTCATACCTTCATAGAGGGCAGTTAATAAAATCAGCATTAGGTCTAAATATCCCCAGTCTGGTTTACATTGAGAAACACTGCTGTACACTCAAGTCAAATGATTTTGCTGGTGGTGTTTAAGACAGAGGTATAATAAATCATTATGATGTCCTTGATGAAATCTATTTACATTTACATTTTAAAGTCCTAAATGAGCATGTTCACAGAGCAGGGTTAGGGGAGCAGCATGGTCTGGCAGGTAAAACAATCCTTGCTGTTTAGCAGGAGGCAGTGTGGTGCACACAGGAGTTCTCTTCCCATTGGCTGATGCTCAGTGCTTTTCTTCTTCAGGTTGACAGGCTGGATGTGGACAGTTTGTTCAGCAACATGGAATCCGTGCACCAGATATCAGCCAAGCTACTGTCCTTGTTGGAAGAGGCCACAACAGACGTGGAACCGGCCATGCAAGTAATAGGTGTGTTTGTTCTCTCCTTCAGTTCTACAATACAGCAGGAAATGGTATTGTAAAAGCCCCCTAGTACTTTGGTTTTATGTTTCTGACTCACAGTGCTTCCCAGGAGATATATAAACGCTGAATCCGCCTTTGGGTTCATTGTAATTATGCAGACTCTACATGTATCTCCAAATGGGTTTATAGCTGTTTGCTAAGGTCCCTCAGTAGCTCTGAGCACAGACAGAATTCGGCTTTTTTTTTTTTTTTTAATTTTTGACCTTTCAGTCTCTCTGCTTTTCATGTAGTCTCTCATTTTGCTTTATGACCGGTACTTCCTTGATTCTTAAAGAATTAAATATTTTAATAACTATCCTAATTTCAGTAATAATGGATTTTTCATCATAAATCTATAAATTTACTGATTTTAAAATTGTAAATATTTTACATGAGAAGTATATGATCTCCAAAGAACTTAGACAACATTTATACTTTCAAGGTTTTCACTTTACTCCTTTTTAAAATTTTTTCTCTTTTATTTTATCAACTTTTTATTGATTCCTGTGGATTTTATATCATGCATCCTGATCCCACTCATCTTCTGTCTTCTTGCTTCCTCCCTCTGCCCTTGAAACTCCCCCCAAAACAAAATTTAAATGTACCCTCCCCCAAAAAGCAAAACAAAAACAAAAAATTTTGGCATGGTAGCTGTAGTGTGGCCCAGTGACCCAGTGTACCCTTTAGTCTGTACATCTTTGCAAAGAGTCACTGGTCTGGTTTAAGGCCTCTGGCTTCTGCTACAGTATCAATACTGGGCCCTCACAGGGGCTCTTCTTCATTCTCCTATCATTACTTTGTGTCATGGAGATCCTGGAGCTTTGGATCTGCAGGTCCGGTTCCTTCACATGCTCCATGTGTGTATATGTATTCATATTTGTGTGTACACACACACACACACACACGGTTTTTGAATGACTACAGAGAATATCATATGAAAAATATTTGGCCTAAATTCTATTCCCTTCATGTCTTGAGTATTGCAAATAACTCCTTGAAGGAGGTTTATGGATCAATGCATAGTGCTATGTAGCTTAAGAATTCTTTTTCTTAAAAGTCCATTTTGTAATTTTACATATATTATATGTTATAAGTTATAAAAGTATTAGAACAGTTGAGGATCTACAGGATAAGCATGAGGGTTGTTTATACACTCCTCCAAACCCACTGTCTCTCCTGCAGGTGACCATTGCTGTTAAAATGGTTTTTGTTGAGGCACACTCACATGGGACATGCACACACACTTTCTATATTTATGAATCCTCGTTTCTAGTGGAGGTTAGAGTTACAGAAAGGGACAAGATAGTTCTTATTTAGTATGCATGGGGGTCCCAAATTTAGGCAGCAAGCTGATCTTATGAAAAGGTGAATGAAAGGATTTGGTTGGGTTTAAATTCTATCTTTCCTTGTGGTTCAACATCTCCAACACACTGTGACAATGTCTTCTTTTTCCAGAAGACTGTACACGTTTTCACTTTAGCAGGGATCACCAGGTGTTTATCATTTTGTCCTAAGAATAGGTATGAGCAGCAGCATGATTACAGAGGAAGATGCTGTGTGGCACTGTTGGGCAGAGTGATGTGGACACGATCATCTCTGACCTCCCAAGCTCACAATAAAATATCTCCTTGAAGTGAAGGTGTGTGTCTGATCGCCATCAGAGTGCTTCCATGCCACCACAAACCCTTAATGAGAACATTTCAGATAGGGATCGAGGAAGGACTACAAGATACTATGTACATTTATGTCACTCATGGTATTTTGACAAGTATGGTCCAGGTTGAGCAAAAATGTTCTTTAGGATTTTCTTTTCACTTAGCATTAGAAGAAAATGGCAAACACATTTAGAAAATGGTAAGTGATTAAGCTGGTATGAAGGATCATATAGAAGAGGAGTAGGGAAGATCTCTGGAGATTCAGATGATACTGAAAACAAATTTGAAATTCAGGAGTTCAACCTCTAGTGCCATCTCTTTCATGGCCTTGACGGGGTTAATCAGTGCAGCACAGTAACCTGAAATGCAGCCTGTTTCCTTTCGTGGTGCTGTGGAGAGCCACATGCAGGACACTGGCAGGTACAGTGAGGATACATGGGCCTCAGTAGCTAGAAATGGCCCCTCATTGTTCTGGCGATAAACACATTTAGAAAATGGTAAGTGATTAAGCTGGTATGAAGGATCATATAGAGGAGGAGTAGGGAAGATCTCTGGAGATTCAGATGATACTGAAAACAATTTTGAAATTCAGGAGTTCAACCTCTAGTGCCATCTCTTTCATGGCCTTGACTGGGTTAATCAGTGCAGCACAGTAATCTGAAATGCAGCCTGTTTCCTTTCATGGCGCTGTGGAGAGCCACATGCAGGTCACTGGCAGGTACAGTGAGGAAACATGGGCCTCAGTAGATATAAATGGCCCCTCATTGTTCTGGTGGCCCTTGGAGGTGTAGGTGATGCTGTAGACCCTTCCATCGTAGGCTAGTTGCACCGTGGCCTATGCTGAGTGGCATACAGTATGACCCATGAGAAGCAAGGCCACCAGGGTGTCAATCAGTGGAGTTGGTGGGACATATAAGGATTTACAGATTACATGTGAACGAAATGTATGTGGGCTCTAGAGGCTGGCAGCTTTGCTCGGGAGCTTCTGCCTGTTTCTGCAGCAGCAGTAAGGCTACTTGTTATTGCTTATATACTATGCTATATATCCGCCACTCTTGTTATTTTACTTGGTTATGCTTGGTCTATTTTTGCAATAAACCCTTCAGACATGAAGGCTGAATGTTTTCACATAATGTAAGTATTGATTTTTCTGCTTCTCAGGAAAGTTGATGATGAACATATGAAAATCAGAATACTTAGCCCATATGCCATAGGGACCTTAACATTGTTGTCACTGACCACAAACCAACCAGGAGACAGAAATCTGCTGAAGAAGCAGCAACCTTCACATCAGAAAACATTAGTCATTGTTTTAAAAAGATTGCTCAAGGCAGGACACTGGGCACACATAGCTGCTTAAAGCATGTTTATGAACCACTCCAAACAGCAAGATTGTTCATGGACAACAGATAACAGCCGCCCTCCATTAATTTCACTCAACCTTACTTCCAAGGTTCCTTGAACCTATAAAACATATAAAAGCAATGGCTACTAATGAGGTGACACCATCAATAAAGGTTTTGCAGTTAAATGATCGCTGTGTCTGTCAATAGATAGAGCAAACATAGAATGCCAGTCCATCCTAATAATAAATTTTTAAATCAAAATTTCAGAAACAGAAACAAATTTGGTAAATTTATCATTAAAAAGTTGATTTTCTGGTCTCATTGTAAGTGTTACTGTAACCAACTTAAAAATGCAATGTTGTAGGGGTTGAAGGATGGGTTAGCAGTTAAGAGCACATAGTGTTTTTGCAGATGAATTACATTTCACTCAAGTTCAGTGGTTCACAGCCACTGATAACTCCAAATTCAGGGATCTCAACACACTCTTCTGGCTTCTGTGTGCACCTAGAGTGTTCACACAACACACAAACACACACACACACACACACACACACACACACACACACACACCCGTGCTCACACACACAATTAAAAACATAACAAATCTTCAGAACAATGATATTGTGACTGCAAGTGACAATATGAGTACACACAGGTAAAGCAAAGGATCACAGAAAAACAATGTTTTTACTAAAATAAAATCTCTAGTAAAGAAACTGTGTGATGCCGATTATAAAGCTGCTATTTTATTCCCATAAAAAAACTGGTCAAAATGTATGCATCCTTTTCTACACATAAAACCAGAATGCATGTGACAGGCAATATCTGAAGATGAATTTGCTGTTAAACTATCAAATTTCCTTATGCGTGACAGTCGAGACCTTCTTTGTTTCTTTGTTCTCTTTCTTTACTCATCATTGTAAAATGTATTTCACATTCCAACCACAGTTTCCCTGCCCTCCTCTCTTCATGTTCCCTCCCCCATCTCTCTTCTACACTTCCTCTCCCTCCCGCCCCCCGTTCACTCCTCATCCGTCTCCATTCAGAGGGGGTAAGGCCTGCCATGGGAATCAACAAAGCATGCTGTATCAAACTGAGGCAGGAACAAGGTCCTCCCCACTTCCTCAAGGCTGAACAAGGCATCTCACCATAGGGAATGGGTTCCAAAGAGCCAGCTCATGCATCAGAGGCAGATAGATCCTGGTCCCACTGCTCACAAACAGACCAAGCTACACAAACTGTCACCCAGCTGAAAAGGGCCTAGAATGGTCCCATGTCAGTTCCCTAGCTGTCTGTCCAGAGTCTGTGAACTCCCACAAGCTTTCATCAGGTCCCCATCAGGATCCTGATACACACACCCTTCAATTTAGAATGCAAAGTTTCCCTCTAGTGGCTTTGGGCTGGTTTCTGAAGAGGCCTATGGAATTGATTGCAGTGTATTCAGAAGCAGGATATGCTTTTAATTAAGCTACTAAGCAAACAGAAAAATTGGTTACAATGATAGAAAATACATTATAGACAAAAAGACATTGGAATTTATCCTTACCAAAACAAAGAATGAGCTTGAAAATTAAACAATAAGAGCTCATGTTGTATAAAATATTTTTGAAATTCTGTAACTGAACTTTCATACACTTGGTTTATGGAAAGAAGCTTTTGATGGAGCACTTCTAATTTATTTCATTTCATTTCATTTTTTTGAGGTTGTGTCTCACTCCATAGACCAGGCTGGCCTGGAAATCCTTGACTCATCTCTTAAGTGCTAGGATCACAGTCATGAGCCACCAAGCTTGGCTTGATGCTCTTCTTTTACATGATAAAATTATATTTTGTACTAGATTATACAATACTACATTTTGAAAAATCATAAATGGAAATAATTTGGTAAGTTTTTTCTCTTGTAAAAAGAAAGAAAAGAATCCAAACAAAGGCAAAAGATGGGAATTTCGAATGTATTTCAGCTCAA